AATTAGTTCTGTTCTTAATTTACTTTTTCCTTTGAGTTTTTTTTCTTTTTTTCTGACTTTATGAGGTAGTTCTCAGCTCATTACCTTTCCATCTTTTTTTGTAATATATGCTTGTAAGCTGATGAATTTCCTTTTAAATATGGGCTTAGCTATGCCATGCAAGTTTAATATGTAATATGTTCACAATCATTTTTTTTCAATTGTCCATAAGCTATTTAGAAGTGTTTTTCCTTAGTTTATATGTATAGGGGATTTTCTAGTTAAATTACTTTTTTATTGATTTCTAACTTCAATGCATTGTAATCAAAGAATATTTTCAATGAGTTCATTCTTTGAGATTTGTTGAGACTTGCTTTGTGACCCAGCATATGATCAGTTTATATATAAACAATGTGTGCTTGATAAGAATGTATATCTGGCATTGTTGGGCATATTTTAAAAATTAATAAATACATCCATTTGGTCAGGAAATTAATAAGTACATCCATTTGGTCAGGTTTGTAGTGTTTTCTCAAATTTTCAGTAGTGTTGACTTTTAAAATCTTGTTTTTCTATCTGCTACTGAGAAAATTGTGCTAACATCTCACTACATTTCATGATATTAGGCACATTTAATTTCAGAGTTATTACATCTTGATGAGGATTTGAGTTTTTATTGTGAGAAAACTTCTGTTAAAAAACAAAATTCAAATAAATTTAAAGATCAAATTGCTTTTATTCAGTGATTCATGAATCAGGCAAATGGAAAGGAGATCTGAAGAGCTGTATAAAATAGAAGACTGTAGGATGAATAGAGCAGAGACAAAGAAAGAGTACATTATTTCATCTTTCTTTGGGGGACAGGAGGGACAATCAGGTAGTTTATTTACCTTACTACTGCTGACCAGGAAATTCCAGACTGACTGGTTAAGATTACATTCCTGAGGGAGGATAGAACTTATATTAGATATTAAGTTTCAGTTTGGTGACATGAACTTAGCATAACTGACTCTATTTGGGCCTCTTGTCTTTTTCTTTTCTTTTCTTCTCTTTATTTTTTTTAAAGATTTCATTTATTTATTCATGAGAGATACATAGAGAGAGGCAGAGACAGAGGCAGAGGGAGAAGCATGCTCCATGCAGGGAGCCTGACGTGGGACTCGATCCCAGAACTCCAGGATCATGCCCTGAGCTGAAGGCAGATGCTCAACTGCTGAGCCACCCAGACGTCCCTCTCTTGTCTTTTTCTTAATACTTGGCTTGCTAATAATGCTTTTTTTTTTTTCCCTTAAAGCCTGACTTCATTAGCTTTCTATTTAATCTTAACCGTTCTATAAACTTAAGTTTTAAATAGATCTTTTATAAACAGAATATGTTTTTAATAGTCTTATTTTTTAATGGATCATTAAATCCATTTACATTAAATGTAATTTTTTATATATTTGGGTTTAAATATGCCTTCTTTTGGTGTACTATTTGTTACAATTATTTCTTTTTGCCGTTTTTTAGTTCTCTTTTAGATTAATAATATTTTATTAATTTACTGTTGTTCTGTTAGTTTGAAAGCTATTTTTATTCTTCCACTAGAGATTCCTCCAGAGATTTTTGTGGGTTTTAGTTTTTTGTTTTTTCCTCCTACTATGTGGTCTTGAGGGGAGGAAGGATATGCTGTCCCAAAATGAGCCATTTGGGCATGTGAATTGTTTTCAGCTGAAGTTAAAACCCAGTTTACTGTGGGAAAGCTTTTTATCTCTCCTTTAACTGCCTAAAACAACTTAGATGGAGGGCCTATACTAGGAAGAGACCTATTACCAGATATAACTTATATCAGAAAGACTTAACCTGCGTGGCATGGTAGACATTTGTTTACCAAACATATGCTCTTTTCATCTTCCTGTGAATTGTCTTCTTACCCTTTTAAGTCCCAGTTCCATATCTCATTTTTCTTAGCTCAGAATGGTATATAATTGCCTGACTCAATTGCCTGGCTACCTGTGAGTGTCATGTCTTTGTGGGCCTCCATACATACATAATTAAATTAGTTTTTCTCCTATTCCTCTATTTTATGTCAGTTAATTATTAGGCCAGCCAATGAACCTAGAAGGGAAGAAGGAAAAATTCCTCCCCAACAGTCAGGTTTTGGTGTCAGGGTAACAAAGCTGGCTTCATAACACGAGTTGGGTTGCCTCCTTTTTTATTTTCTGGAACAGATTGTGTAAAATTGATGTTACTTCCTTAAATATTTTATAGAATTTACCAGTGACACCTGCTGTGCTTCAGTATTTCTTTTTAAAAATGCATTTAGCTATGGATTTAATTTTTTTAAATAGATAAGACTATTCTGGTTATGGATTCTTTTTTCTGACATTTCCTAATTGGTTTTCACTTGAGTAAAGAAACCCTAATGATTTTGTATGTAGATCCATGCACGTTGATTGATTTTTGTGTGTCAATCTAGCCACTTTAATTCTATTAACTGTAATCATCGTAAATATTCTTTTTTTTTTTTTGTAAATATTCTTAATAAAGAAACATTAGAAGTATTCTCATTTAAATTTAATTAAAATTAAAGCTAAGAATAAGAAAAGAATATCCATAATTATAGCTACTTTTTTAGTACTATTTTAGAGGTAATAGCCTCATAGCATGGATAGTCAAACAGCAAAAAGAAATAAGTGGTATGAAGTTTAGAAAGAAAGAATTGAAAATGTGATTATGTGCAGATGAAATGTTGCCTGCCAAGAAATTTGTCCGCCCAAGAAGATTAAAACTATTAGAATGAAAAAGATGGTTCAACAAGGTGACTCTTCCCTTTTTTTTAAATTAATTAATTAATTTATTCATGAGAGACATTGAGAGAGAGGCACAGACATAGGCAGTTGGAGAAACAGGCTCCCCGCAGGGAGCCCAATGTGGGACTCCATCCTGGATCCTGAGATCAGGCCCTGAGCCAAAGGCAGATGCTCAACCACTGAGCCAGCCAGGCGTCCCTCTAGAACAAGTTCTATTCTTATAAATATCTTGTGTGTATTTGAGGGGAAATGGCAATCTAAATTTTCTGGGCTCAAAATTCTTTATATGCCTATTAGAAAAATCCTATTATTTTATTCATATCTTCAGTAATCACATTATAATCTGCTTGATCTATTAGATTCTGCAAAAGTTATGTTAAGCTCTTCTAGAATGTTTGTGTTTATTTCTTACATTTTTATCCATTTCACTGCATATATTTTAAAGTAGTGTAGTCACATATCTTATAATTCTTTCTTTTTAAAGGTTTTATTTATATATTTGAGAGAGCAAGAGAGAGTGAGAGATAGCACAGGGTGAGGGGGAGCAGAGGGAGAGGGAGAATTATAAAATATGCGTAGGGTGCCTGATGTGGGACTCAATCCCAGGACCCTGGGATCATGACCTGAGCCAAAGGCAGATGCTTAACTGACTGAGCCACCTAGGCACCCCTATATTTTATAATTCTTTTTTAAAATATATTTTATAATTCTTAGATATTTTTGAAAAGTTCCATTTATCAATATAAAATGTTCCTTTTTGATACTGTTTGCCTTGAACTCTGTTTTGTTCATTGTAAATACTGGTATTTATTGATCACTGTCCCCACAGTTTTGTTTTGTTTTTTGCTATAATTTTTATAACCCTCTACTGTCAGCCTGTGCTTTCATTCTTTTCTAAGTGCATTTCTTATAAGTAGTGTATAGCTGGATTATTTTTCAGAGTTCAGAAAATCTCTCATAGTTAATAGATGAGTTCAATATTTACTATAATTATTGATGTTTGTATATATTTCTACCACTCAAAACTGAGAAAAAAAATCAAACAGAAGTCAAGAAAAAAGAAAAAAGATAAAATAGCAAAAATAAAACTGAGTTTGAAAGTAATCCTCCCTCAATAGCAATACTGAAGATATAATTCTATCATCTTTTAGTGTACAAAGTTGCTAATGAGCAGTCTTTTTTCTAATCCATACTCCTTTGTAAGTATACAGTCTTTACACTCTTTTTTGATTTTGAGATTTTCTTTTTTTATCCTTAGTATTCTAAAGTTTTACTGTTACTTAAGAATGGGTTGTTTTTATTTTGTTGCAGTTATTTTTTATTGTGTTGTTTCAATCTGGGGACTCATGTTTTTCTAAATGTGAATTAATTACTGGTCAATTATTTAATTATATCCCTTCTTCCATTCTCTTTGTTATCTAATTCTGAAACCCCTCATAGATGTGTGTTGGAATTTTTGAGTATGGCTTTCATAATATACTTTTTCTTTCATTCATCCCAACTCTTGTGCATCATTCTTATGGAATCCTCAGGTTGTATTTGTAGTGTATTAATTTGGTCTTAAGCTGTGTTCAGTCACGATTCTGCTATTGCATTTATTTTAATTTGGGTTTTGTTGTTTATTGATTTTAGCAATCACATTCTTCTTTCCCAAACACTTTGCCACATACAGGTAACATGGCATCAGCTCCTATTTACCACAATGGAATCCTGTCCAATTTTTTCTTAGATACTTCTTTATTTCAGGTGTATTGAAGGTATCCTTTTTTGTTTTCAAGAGCAACGTTATATTTATTGCACTTTTTATATTACTTATATGTAATAACATCATTTAGGGTGATGGTTAACAGCATGGACTGTGGGGGCACAAGGCCAAGGCTCAAGGCCAATTTCTTCCTCTTCAACAAGTAATTAAAACTCTATGTCCCATTATCTTTACTTGTGATCATTATCATAATAATTATCTTGTATATTTTTGTGAGTACTAAAAGATAATATATGTCAAAATGCCTGGCACGTAAAAAGTGCTCAGTAAAAATTAGCTGCTGATAGCTGTAGTAGTAGTGGTAGCAGTATGCTAGTTATCACTATATGATTCATCTGATGGTGGAGATTTTATCATGTTTGTGATCTGCCATACAATCCCAACCATCCCTTATATGACTTTTTAAATTCAAAATTGGATCTAACAGACTTAAACAACTTATGGCTCTTCTTTCTTTTCTACAGATTGATCCAGAATTAGAAAAAAAACTGAAAATGAATAAAGTGTCACTGGAATCAGAGTATGAGGTACATATGTTAACATGTTATATGTTAATGTAATCTCTCTTTTGTAACAGTTTTCCAAGTCAGTGACTAATTCTGTCTTAAGGTGAACTTAAATTATTACTAGTGCAGAAAAAATTATTTACCTTAATATAGTATTGGGGCAACTGTGTGGTCATTTGACAAAATAAAGATGGATCTGTATTTCATATATCAGAATGAATAAATTCTAGGTGGAACAAGAATTTAAAAGTACAAAGAGGCTAAAAATACTAGGAGAAAAAAATAGAGATTCTTTTTGGTGGCCTTGAGTCAGAAAAGCTGATTTAAATGTGATACAAAATTCAAAAGCTTTTATTTATTTTTTTTTTTTTTTTTTTTATAAATTAATTTTTATTGGTGTTCAATTTACCAACATACAGAATAACACCCAGTGCTCATCCCGTCAAGTGTCCCCCTCCGTGCCCGTCACCCATTCACCCCCACCCCCCGCCCTCCTCCCCTTCCACCACCCCTAGTTCATTTCCCAGAGTTAGAAGTCTTTATGTTCTGTGTCCCTTTCTGATATCTCCCACACATTTCTTCTCCCTTCCCTTATATTCCCCTTCACTATTATTCATATTCCCCAAATAAGTGAGAACATACACTGTTTGTCCTTCTCCGATTGACTTACTTCACTCAGCATAATACCCTCCAGTTCCATCCACGTTGAAGCAAATGGTGGGTATTTGTTGTTTCTAATGGCTGAGTAATATTCCATTGTGTACATAAACCACATCTTCTTTATCCATTCATCTTTCGATGGGCACCGAGGCTCCTTCCACAGTTTGGCTATTGTGGACATGGCTGCTAGAAACATCGGGGTGCAGGTGCCCCGGCGTTTCATTGCATCTGAATCTTCGGGGTAAATCCCTAACAGTGCAATTGCTGGGTCGTAGGGCAGGTCTATTTTTAATTCTTTGAGGAACCTCCACACAGTTTTCCAGAGTGGCTGCACCAGTTCACATTCCCACCAACAGTGTAAGAGGGTTCCCTTTTCTCCACATCCTCTCCAACATTTGTTGTTTCCTGCCTTGTTAATTTTCCCCATTCTCACTGGTGTGAGGTGGTATCTCATTGTGGTTTTGATTTGTATTTCCCTGATGGCAAGTGATGCAGAGCATTTTCTCATGTGCATGTTGGCCATGTCTATGTCTTCCTCTGTGAGATTTCTCTTCATGTCTTTTGCCCATTTCATGATTGGATTGTTTGTTTCTTTGGTGTTGAGTTTAATAAGTTCTTTATAGATTTTGGAAACTAGCCCTTTATCTGATATGTTATTTGCAAATATCTTCTCCCATTCTGTAGGTTGTCTTTGAGTTTTGTTGACTGTATCCTTTGCTGTGCAAAAGCTTCTTATCTTGATGAAGTCCCAATAGTTCATTTTTGCTTTTGTTTCTTTTGCCTTCGTGGATGTATCTTGCAAGAAGTTACTGTGGCCAAGTTCAAAAAGGGTGTTGCCTGTGTTCTCCTCTAGGATTTTGATGGAGTCTTGTCTCACATTTAAATCTTTCATCCATTTTGAGTTTATCTTTGTGTATGGTGCAAGAGAGTGGTCTAGTTTCATTCTTCTGCATGTGGATGACCAATTTTCCCAGCACCATTTATTGAAGAGACTGTCTTTCTTCCAGTGGATAGTCTTTCCTCCTTTGTCGAATATTAGTTGACCATAAAGTTCAGGGTTCATTTCTGGATTCTCTATTCTGTTCCATTGGTCTATGTGTCTGTTTTTGTGCCAGTACCACACTGTCTTGATGACCACAGCTTTGTAGTACAACCTGAAATCTGGCATTGTGATGCCCCCAGCTATGGTTTTCTTTTTTAAAATTCCCCTGGCTATTCGGGGTCTTTTCTGATTCCACACAAATCTTAAAATAATTTGTTCTAAGTCTCTGAAAAAAGTCCATGGTATTTTGATAGGGATTGCATTGAACGTGTAAATTGCCCTGGGTAGCATTGACATTTTCACAATATTAATTCTGCCAATCCATGAGCATGGAATATTTTTCCATCTCTTTGTGTCTTCCTCAATTTCTTTCAGAAGTGTTCTATAGTTTTTAGGGTATAGATCCTTTACCTCTTTGGTTAGGTTTATTCGAGCAGAACTCAACGAAATTGAGACCAGAAGAACTGTGGAACAGATCAATAGAACCAGGAGTTGGTTCTTTGAAAGAATTAATAAGATAGATAAACCATTAGCCAACCTTATTAAAAAGAAGAGAGAGAAGACTCAAATTAATAAAATCATGAATGAGAAAGGAGAGATCACTACCAACACCAAGGAAATACAAACGATTTTAAAAACATATTATGAACAGCTCTACGCCAATAAATTAGGCAATCTAGAAGAAATGGACGCATTCCTGGAAAGCCACAAACTACCAAAACTGGAGCAGGAAGAAATAGAAAACCTGAACAGGCCAATAACCAGGGAGGAAATTGAAGCAGTCATCAAAAACCTCCCAAGACACAAGAGTCCAGGGCCAGATGGCTTCCCAGGGGAATTCTATCAAACGTTTAAAGAAGAAATCATACCTATTCTACTAAAGCTGTTTGGAAAGATAGAAAGAGATGGAGTACTTCCAAACTCATTCTATGAGGCCAGCATCACCTTAATTCCAAAACCAGACAAAGACCCCACCAAAAAGGAGAATTACAGACCAATATCCCTGATGAACATGGATGCAAAAATTCTCAACAAGATACTAGCCAATAGGATCCAACAACACATTAAGAAAATTATTCACCATGACCAAGTAGGATTTATCCCCGGGATGCAAGGCTGGTTCAACACTCGTAAAACAATCAATGTGATTCATCATATCAGCAAGAGAAAAACCAAGAACCATATGATCCTCTCATTAGATGCAGAGAAAGCATTTGACAAAATACAGCATCCATTCCTGATTAAAACTCTTCAGAGTGTAGGGATAGAGGGAACTTTCCTCGATATCTTAAAAGCCATCTACGAAAAGCCCACAGCAAATATCATTCTCAATGGGGAAGCACTGGGAGCCTTTCCCCTAAGATCAGGAACCAGACAGGGATGTCCACTCTCACCACTGCTATTCAACATAGTATTGGAAGTCCTAGCCTCAGCAATCAGACAACAAAAAGAAATAAAAGGCATTCAAATTGGCAAAGAAGAAGTCAAACTCTCCCTCTTCGCCGATGACATGATACTCTACATAGAAAACCCAAAAGCCTCCACCCCAAGATTGCTAGAACTCATACAGCAATTTGGTAGCGTGGCAGGATACAAAATCAATGCCCAGAAATCAATGGCATTCCTATACACTAACAATGAGACTGAAGAAAGAGAAATTAAGGAGTCAATCCCATTTACAATTGCACCCAAAAGCATAAGATACCTAGGAATAAACCTAATCAAAAGCTTTTAAAAGTAAAGATTGAGGAATGTATATATAAAAACTCAAAAGTTTAACCTAAAAAAATAATGTATATAAAGTCACTAGTTAGATGAGGAGTCCTAAAAATACTGTATATTTTATCATGATGAATTAACTTATTTAAATATGAAAAGCATCTACAGATCAATATGGAAAAGTTTAATATTTTAGTTGGTCAGTGGAACATGGGCAAAGAATGTAAAGCTTCAGAGAAAAGGAAAAAAATACCATTCTTAAACATATGACAAGATACTAAACTTATAGGAAAGTTAGTTAAAATTATAATGGGGTGTTATTTTCCACCCATCTGATTAGCAAAAATGAAAGTGTTTAACTTTCACATGGTATTACAGCATGTGGTGAGGGAAGATGTTCTCCATTTCTTATGTTATTTCTGTATTTCTTATGTCTTATGTTTCTTATTTCTTATAGTTTGTTGATTTTTTGGCTGTGGATCATATTTTCCTCTTTCTTTGTATGTTTTGGTATTTTTCCTTGAAAGGTGAACATTGTGAATAGTACATTGAAGAGACCTGTGAAGATTGTTGATTCTCATTTTAGCAGGCAGTTCCATTATTGGCTAATCATTTTGAGCTTGACTTTATCTCTTTAAGGGAAGATCTGTGAAAGGCTTTGGTGTTTCCTAAAGTTCTGTAACTCTATGGGACTCATTCTCCAAATTGTCTCCCTAGAGGATCTTGTCAGAGGTTGGCTTTAAGCTCTGTTGGTGTGAGTCTAAAGTAGGTCTTACTCTTGGCATAATCCTTATTCCTAAAGAGTAGCATTTTTGGTGTCTCAGGTGTATGTTAAAGTAGCAGCTAGATACTTAGCTAGATACTACCTTTACCTGATAGTAAAGAGAGGTCTCCAGTGTAGCAGGGCTAAAAATCCAACAGTAACACTGCTTTTCATCAGCATTTCTTGATTCTGTATCATGCACAATTCTGTAGAAGTTGGTTGCTAAGTGGTAAGCCTTAGATGGTCTTGCCCAACACACGTCTTCAATGACTACATGTTTTCCAAAATTCCACAGAGACTCTTTCAATTACTAAAGATCTTTGAAGACTGAAACACTTTTATGTGAAGTTGTTCTGTCAGCCTTGCAGCCTTGCATCTTTGAAGACTGAAACACTTTTATGTGAAGTTGTTCTGTCAGCCTTGCATCCCGTCTAAGAATAATTCTTAAGTTCTCTTGAACATATATATCTTATGTTATCTGGGTGAAGGTCATTCTTTCTTTAAGCCTTTTAATAACTTTGGATAATTGCATAACTATACTTGAAAATAATTGACTCCCTTGCACATTAAATTAGTAGAACTTTGTTTATCCACATATATTTAATACAGACTCCTAGCAAAATTCTAAGTGACCTTTAGGGAATGGTTTCAGTTCCCTACTTCCCCATTATTTTGTCCAAACTTCTAACTTGTTACTTCTCAATCTGTAAGCACTTTGTGATGTAGTGATGCTAGGGAAGGTTTGGGAGTAAATTTTCCTTTAGTTATTTTGAAAACCATAGAATTTAAGAATTGAAGACACCATGTAGACCATTTGGTTGAGCCATTTTATTATTACTTATGAGAGAATTAATGCCCAGATGACTTAAATCACTTGCCCAAGGTTGTTAGTAAAAGAGAAATGCTTATTATCCAAGTGTCAATGTAAATTTGTATCATTTTCCCTATATCTGGATATAAGCTATTCTGTGTTATATGAGCCTCTTTTTCTATTTTATTTATTACTCAATAAGTCCAGAATAATCAAAGCAGATATAGGAAAGTTAGTGTCAGAGTGGTGTCGAAGGATGAAGAAACATTTATATTCTATCCTTTATCTTACCTTCATTTCTGTGCTGAGAGGCATTTCACACTAACTGTGAAGGTACAATGATCCAAACTGTAGTTGAAGCTAGGTTTTATTGACTGAAAGGGATTTACTCCTGGTATCAGTGGGGAATGTCCTTTCATTTGCAGGCTCAGGCTTATTTCTCAGGTGCAGGATAAATCATCATTTCTTCATTTTAGCAGATTGTAGGGTCTCCACCTTTGTTCTTTTCCTCTCCTTTACTACTGTCACCCATGCTAACCCATGCTAGTCATTATTATGGTGAAACAGCCTTTAGAGTTGGACTCTTGTTTTCCCGGCTTCTTGCCTTTCTTTGTGCTCTCAAAAATAAAGTATGTAGACTCTTTCTCTAATTTGGTAATTTTATTCTGATGGGGAAGGGGAAAGTATGAAAGATAGTCTAGTTAATATCAATAGCAAACAAGAGAAATTCTAAATCCTAAGAGATATGCCATTACTTCAGTTATTATGTGTGATATGCAGTTGACTTTTTAAAATTACAATTGAGGGCCTATTGGATTTTTCCACTCACTTACCTATTCATTCATTCAGTAATGTCCTAATAAAAGTCACAGGGATTTTACCCTAATATATATACTTTAATTTTTGTGACCCTACAGAAAATGAAGGACTCCACTTTTGATGACTGGAAGAATATTCGAGGACCTAGGCCTTGGGAAGATCCTGACTTCCTCCAAGGACGAGATCCAGAAATCCTTAAGACTAAGACAACTTGACTAAATTGATTCTTTTTTTTTTTTTTTTTTTTTTTTTTTTTAACAAAAATGTTATCTATCAACCGGAATACCCACTACATATTCAATGGGAAGAAAATTTCAGAACTGCAGAAGCCTGGTTATGAGTAATGTGATGACAGATAATCTTGATAAAAAGTTGCAGTAACATCGGGCAGTGATTTTATGTCAAACCTATGTGGGAAAATAATATCGATCACAGGCTGATGAGAGTTTTGGTTTTACTTATAGTCCCTCACATGGTATAAAATCAGTCTCCAAAGTATCACCTGATGATTGTATTGATACTATTAAAACACGTTAAGAATATTATATTGTTCTTGGTTAAGGCAAAAATTATGATGTAGTACATATTATATATAGATATGGCAAATTTATTCAAGTATTCCATAAATGACTACAGTTTGGAAATACTGATTTAAGGTATGTTTTATGCCTCAGCATAATTTACAGTTAACTGTAGTTTTGTTCTTATTTTCTTAACTTAAGGTTTGCTGTGATCTAAATGTTAGGCAAAAGGATAGAATTGAGGGAAGTTGGTTTTTTTTTTTAACTTATTTTCTTCTTTTTACCCCTATCTTAGCCAGCCTTGTTGCCCCACCCTCTGATATTTTTACATTAATTTCCAGATGCCTAAAGTCTCAACTGAAATACTCCCCTTTATGTTGCCAAAAAAATTATAAATCGACCTACCTCTTGTCCAATCAAGAACACTATTTTCAGTGGCTAGTTTTAGCAAAAAAGAAGCCAGGCTGATTATCTAGTGATGAGAAATCATGATAGAGATAGAGATCTGAAAGAACAATTGAATTTCATGGGCCCAAAAAAGTAATAGACCTCCACTTAGACATTGTTCCTTATATAAAAAGTAACTCAAAGTGGATCTAATTTAAATGAAAAACTTAAAACTTTTGGGAAAAGAAGGCAGAAAGTCTTCAGGATTTAGTGTATAGTTCTTGATGAATAGTTCTTAACAAAACATTCATAAAAGAAGAACTTGATATATTGGATCTTAACAAATTTTAAAACTTTTGTTTTCCAAAGACCCCATTAAAAGGTGAAAAGATAATCCAGACTGAGAGAAAATATTTGGAAACCACTTATCTGCTAAAAGACTCCTATCTAGACTATATGAAGAATTCTGAAAACTCAATAATTGAAAAGCAAACAGTCTCATTAGAAAATGGCCTGAAGACACAAAGTGACATTTCACTGAAGAGTGTATATGAGTATGTCAAATAAGCACACGAAGAGAATGGTCGACATGACTAACCACGAGGGAAATACAAAATTGGGACTACATTGAGAAATCACTACACACTTACTAGAATAGCTGGAATAAAAAAGTGACAATTCTAAATGCTGGGAAGGATATAGAGAAACTAGACCTCTCACATGCTGCTAGCATAATATAAAATGGTACAATTGGTTTAGAGAATTGTTTGGCAGTTTCTTTAAAAACAGCACAGGTACTTCAGTTTCTGGTCCAACATGTAGGAACCTTGGAAGTCACACCTCCCATCCTAACACAAAGGAAAAGCTGAAAACCTGAAAATCAACAACTATCTTTTGATCCATGGGAGAATTGAGGAGGACACAGAACAAAACCACCACCTGAAAATGTGAGAAAGACAAATAGAGGAGATCACAGGTACCTGGAGGAGAAACCACCTTGAAGCCACTGTTGGAGCCAGCATCAGATAGGAATGCTTGAAGGGCAATTGACTAATTACTAGAGAGTGAGCATGGACTAACTTGAGTTAAAAAAAACTCTTGGAGACTAGGCCAGGGGCACGTTTTTGTGTTTTAGTTCCCAGAGTCCCACCAGGTTCTCACTGTGAATATTAAAGAAAAATCTTATGGTGTCAGCAGAGGGAGGAAAAATTAACCATTCCAAAATGTCTCCTAAATTTTGTTCTTCTTAACAAAAAGCCTGTCATCCAAGGAAGCTTTTACTATAGACTAATCACACTGGATTTTACCAAAGTTTAACCAACTCTGGGGCAAGGGAATTACCCAACTTGAGTCCCTTCTAGCCTCTTGTTTCACCTAAATGGAGTGGGGATGAGGGGAGGAAGACTGAGAGGTAGTAGTGAATGTCATGTAGGACCACGATCACTACAAGACTACAAGACCTAATCATAAGACTATAGAATGTTTCCTCCCCCCTTCACATTACTACCATATCTACCACATTCTATTACTACCACATTACTAAAGGTTATTCACTGGAGTTTTTTTTACCCAATCCAACTGGGTATCATGTCCAACTTTGAACAAAGAAACTACAAGGCATGCTAAAATATAAAAAGCACAGCTTGGAAAGACCAAGCATTAAAATCAGATTCATGGAATCTGGGAAGTGGAAGAGAAGTTGGACTTAAACCAGACTAAGAATTTAAAATAACTATAATTTATATGTTTAGAGCTCTAATGGAAAAAGTACACAAATGTAAGAGTAGATGGATAAAGTAAGCAGAGAGATGGAAATTTTAAGAATCAAAGGGAAATTCTAGATTTCAAAAACAGTATAACAGAAATGCTTTTGATGGAGTCATCAATAGAGTGGGCATGATTGAGGAAAGAGAACAAGAGGGAAATGATACCAGACAGTAATTTAAATACACAAGAAAAGATAGGAGCACTAATAAAGATATTTAGGTAGTTATTTTTTTAAGTACAATTACAATTTTTCCCTTTCTTAATTCATTTAAGAACATATAAAACAGTTTCTATAAAATGTATTTTGAGGTCTACATATAGAAATGTAATATATAAATATATAATAGAGTAATAATATAATAGAGTAATAATAGAGCAAAAAAAGGAGGTGGTAATGAAGTTTTATTGGAGCAGGGAAATGACACCAGATGATAATTGAATCCATAGGAAGCAAAGAAGAGAACCAAACTTGATAAGAAGGTTGATATTTAAATTTTTAAATAATTAAAAAAAAACTTCTTTAGGAATGCCTGGGTGACTCTCAGTTGGTTAAGGATCCAACTCTTGATTTCAGCTCAGTTCATGATCTCACGGTTATGAGATCAAGCCTAGCCTCGGGCTCTGCTTGGCCAGGAGTATGCTGGAGATTCTCTCACACTCCCTCTGCCATGTGCCCCCAACCCCACACATGTGAGGACACATATTCTCTCTCAATAAATAAATCTTAAAAAAAAAAACTTCTTAAAAACACATCGAAGTGCATAAATCAGTAATTATAAAAGGTTTATTGGGTTTATGACATGCATAGAAGTAATATGTATAACAATAACAAAAAAGGGAAGGATTAAGCTAAGTAGGAAGAAAGTTTCTATATCTTATTGATATTAAATCAGTGTGATTCTGAAGTAGATTCTGTTAAGTAATGTGTATGTTGTAAGCCCTAGGGTAAACTTTAAGAAAGTCGCTCAAAAATGTAGTTAAAAATCATTAAAGGAATTAAATGTTACACTAGAAAATACCTGCCTAAAACAAAATAAGGCAGTTAAGGATTAGAGAACACTACAAAACACATGTAGAAAATAGTAAAAATAGCAGATGGAAGTCCTACTTATCAGTTTGAATTAAATATATAAAAGAATTATATTCACTAATTAAAAGGCAGAGATTGACAGAATGGATAAAAACCACAATCCAACCCTATGCTGTCTATAAGATTCAAACACACTAAGTTGAAAGCATAAGGGTAGAAAAATTGATGCCATGCAAATAGTAACCAAAGAGAGCTGCTTCGGCTTCTAATATCAGAGAAAGTATACTTTGAGGCAAAAAATTGTTACAAGGGACAAAGTGGAACATTTTATAGTGATAAATGATCAATAGTCAAGAAAACATATGCAACTGTTATAAAACATATGCAACTAACAGTACAGCCCAATAATACAAGAAGCAAAAACTTAGAAAAAGGCAATTTTACAATAGTATGGGAGACTTCAGAACCTCAGTTTTAACAAGTAGCAGATTGTCTACTTAAACAGAAAACTTGAACAATACTGTCAGCCAACTAGACCTGACATCTGTGGGTTACTCTGCCCAACAACAGCAGAAAACACATTCTTCTCAACTGAACATGGAACATTTTTTAGGATACACCTTATGCTAGACCATAAAACAAACCTCAATAAATTTAAAAGGATTTCAATCATATTAATCTCAAACATGTTCTAGGAATGTAAGAAATCAACTATAGGGGATCCCTGAGTGGCTCAGCGGTTTGGCGCCACCTTCAGCACTGGGCATGATCCTGGAGTCCCGGGATCGAGTCCCGAGTCAGGCTCCCAGCATGGAGCCTGCTTCTCCCTCTGCCTCTCTCTCTCTCTCTCATAAATAAATAAATAAATAAATAAATAAATAAATAAATAAATAAATAAAAATAAAAATAAAATCTTTAGGAAACTTCCGGGTGGGACCAAAGAGAGGGGCTGGGCAGGGGTTCGCAGCTCCGCGGCAGCCATGGCGTACAACGGCCTCACGGTGACTCTCATTGTGATGAGCGTGATCTGGGGCTTTGTCGGCTTCTGCGTGCCCTGGTTTATCCCTAAGGGTCCCAACCGGGGAGTTATCATCACCATGTTGGTAACCTGTTCAGTTTGCTGCTATCTCTTTTGGCTGATTGCAATTCTGGCCCAACTCAACCCTCTCTTTGGACCACAGTTGAAAAATGAAACCATCTGGTACCTCAAGTATCACTGGCCTTGAGGAGGAAGACCTGCTCTCCAGCGCTCAGTCATTGAGGTCACGAAGAGAATTCCTCTAGATGCAAAATCAACTCGAAACCCAGACCGCCTTCTTTGACTTCCCTATTTTGGCCATCAGCTGCCTTAAACATTCACACCATATTTGAATATCTTATTTTACAATGCAGTATTTTTTCCTGTTGCCTTTTTTTACATTTTGATGAATTATGTGACTACTTAACCTAAACTGTGCTGACTCCATAAAATGTTTATGCACTCTTCTGAGATGGAGGGTGCTATTCTTCTGAGAAATACATTGCTCTCTCCTTGGAACCTGTGAATTTGAAGATGACTCCTGCCTGGTCACAACATGGGAATCAGCAAAGTGTTTAAAAACTGTCACAAGACAAGGCAGTCAGTAGGAGAGCATGTTCAGAGGGAATATCTGTCCCAACAGAATTACACCAAAGTATATTTTCAGGATGACTTTCTTATTTCTGCCGTCTCCTGGAGTAAATTATTTTTCAGCTTTCTGTGGAAAAATAAAAAAAATAAAATAAAATCTAAAAAAAGAGAAATCAACTATAGAGGAAATTTTGGAAATTTACAAGTATCTGAAAATGTAATTGAGTATCCAACTGGTCAGAGAAGAAATTGAAAGTATAATAAATACTTTGAGATGAATCAAAATGAAGATACAACAGACCAAAACTATGGGATGCATCAAAACAGTAGCTAGTTGAAAATGTGTAGCTATAAATACCTATATCAAGGAAAGATCTCAAGGGCACCTGGATGGCTCAGTGGTTGAGCATCTGCCTTTGGCTCACAGTCTTGGGATTGAGTCCCACATCAGGCTCCCCAGCAGGGAGCCTGCTTCTCCCTCTGCCTATATCTGTGCCTCTCTCTCTGTGTCTCTCATGAATAAATAAACTTAAAAATCTTAAAAAAAAAACCTCTCAAATTTAGTGGCTTAACCTTTCACCTTAATGCACTTGAAAAAAAGAACAAAACCTAAAGTAAACAGAAGAAAGTAAATAAAGATTAGAACTAAGTAAATGAAGGACAACAGAAAGACAACAGAGAAATCAGTGAAACCAAAGGTTCTTTTTTTTTTAAAGGTCAGCAACTTGACGTCTTTAGCTAGATTGACTAAAATAAAAAAAAAAGAAATGACAAATTATTAAAATCAGGAATGAAAAGGGACATTACTAGCAAACTTATAGTAATTAAAATAAAAAAAACTATAGGGGAATGCTATAAACAATTCTGTGCCAATAAATTAGGTAATTTAGGTTAAATAGACAAATTCCTAGAAAGACAAACTACCAAAACTGATTCAAGAAGAAATATAAATCTGAATAATAGACCTATAACAAGAAATTGAATTGGTGTTAAGAAAAATATACCCACAAAGAAAAAAGCCTGGACCCAGATGGGTTCATTGTGAATTCTACCAAATATTCAAAAGAAGAATTAATATCATTCTTTATAGACTTTTCCAAAAAAAGTAGAAAAGATTGAAACCCTTCCCAACTCATTCCATCAGGCTAGTATTATCCTGATACAAAAACTAGGAAAAACAGCAAGAAAGTTAAGGATTAATATCTCCTATGAATATAGATGCAAAAATCCTCAACAAAATACTAATAAGCTAAATCCAGTCATGTATAGAGAAGGTTATACATCATGATCAAGTGAGATTTACCTCAGGAATGCAAGACTGATTTAACATTCAAAAATTATTATGTAATATATTCCATCAATAGAATTAAGATAAAAACCACATAATCATATCAAGATGCAGAAAAATACTTGTCAGAATTCAACGCCTCTTCACGATGAAAGCACTCAATAAAGTAGGAATAGGAAGAAACATGTTCAACTTGACAAGTCACCAACAGAAACACCTCACAGCTAACATACTTAAAAGGCAAAGAATGAGTGCTTTCTTCCTAACTCAGAAAGAAGGCAAGAATGTCTGCTCTCGGGGCACCTGGTGGTTCAGTGGACGAGCGTCTGCCTTCGGCTCAGGTCATGATCCTGGGGTCCTGGGATTGTGTCCCACATCTGGGTTCCCATGGGGAGTCTGCTTCTCCTTCCGCTTGTGTCTCTGCCTCTCTGTGTGTGTTTCTCATGAATAGATAAATAAAATCTTAAAAAAAAAAAGTCTGCTTTCACCACCGCTTTGACATTGAACTTGGAGGTTTTTAGCCAGGACAGTTAGGAGGGAACAAAAGAAAATGAGCATCCAGATTGGAAAGGAAGAAGGAAAACCATCAATCTTTGTAGATGACATGATCTTATATGGAGTACCTTATAAGGAATCCACACTAAAAACTATTATAAATGAGTTTGGCACTCAAAGGATTATTAGTTATAGGAATGACAAAGGACTATTAGTTATAGGAATGACATTATTAGTTATAGGGAATGTTTCCTTTTAAGTATCTCGCCTGATCTTTCTTCTCTCCACAACTCCAAAGACAGTGCTTTATGAACTGACCTTATGTCTTTCCTGGTAAGGAATGAATGTATCAATTTAAGACCTTGATGTTTTCATGTAAACATTTCAATTTACAATTCAGTTGATTGGTTATGTTCTATCATTGTCCTTGAGTTTTCCCTATAGTAGGGACACCAAGTATTAGTAATCTATGTAAAATTTACTGAATTTACTGAAGATTTCATAGAGAAAAGAGAAATCCCTTATTAAATTTCTCTTTTCCACAAAAGCCATGATGGGCACCCCATCCTTTTTTCACTTGGCCATTTCCCTATATAGGGCCCAGCTTTGATAGATCCTTTTTTTGTTTCTGGATCTTCTCTTGCTCTTAAGCAGTACCCTCCCAAATCCCTTCCTTCTCTCTGCCCCCCAACCAAACTCATTACTTTCATATGCGCAGCAAGTTAGCTTTCCCCCAGCTTGTGCAAACCTGCACACCCATCCCCAGATCCTCTGTAAATAAGCTCTTTTCTGTCACAGGGAAATAATGAGGAACCATAGTGAGGAACATTACATTCTACACAAATATACATGTATTATCTTGGGGAAATTATTTAACTATTTGGTGGCTCAGTTTCCTCATGTGGAAAATAGGGATAATGGTAGCAATGTAGCAGAGCTGATGTGAGTTAATTATGTTAAGTTTAGAACAATGGCATACAGAAAGTACTTGGCAGATGGTAGCTATTATTATTAAATAGGTAAGAATTATTATTTTTAAAAATATTTATTTATTCATGAGAGACACAGAGAGAGAGAGAGGCAGGCAGAGACACCGGCAGAGGGAGAAGCAGGCTCCATGCAGGGAGCCCAATGTGGGACTCGATCCAGGATTCCAGGATCATGCCCTGGGCCGAAGGCAGGCACTAAACCGCTGAGCCACCCAGGGATCCCAGGTAAGAATTATTAGTGACAACAAACTTTTTATCAAATGACATTGTTCTAAACTTTACACCTGGGTGGCTTAGTTGGTTGAGCTTCTTGGTTTCGATTTAGCTTGTGATCTTATGGTCATGGGATCCAGCCCCATGTTGGGCTCTGCGCTTGGCTTGAGTCTGCTTTGGATTCTCTCACTCTCTCTCCTACTCCCCCCACCCCTCTCAAGTAAAATCTTTTTTAAAAAAGTCGTATCTAAAATAGTATTTTAATGACATTGCACAGCTGTTTATTGATAGCAATTAATCCTGTGTGAAAGCTCTGTCTGTATGATCTTATATGTCTCTTCTGCAAACAGCAAAGTTCAGTGGGAAGACACACAAATTGATAGACCAAGTTGGAATCTTGTCATTTTGTCAGATTACAAACCGTGTAATCTTACACAAATTACATAACATACTTCAGTCTCAGTTAACTCACTTGTGAATTGGGAGTTGTGAATTGGGAATCTGTCAGTTAACCTAGGTGAGGCACACAGTAAATAAATAGGCAAAGAAGATAGATGATAAAGGAATGGCTGTTACTATCTTTGTTACTATCTTTGAGGTGAAAAATAATTTGCTTACAGATAATAGACATTCTGACCTAAATCATTGCTTCAAATAATTCATTAAAAAATCTTTTTTCCTGGACACCGGGGTGGCTCAGCCAGTTAAGCATCTGCCTTTGGCTCAGGTCATGATCCCAGGGGCCCGGGGGCAAGCCCCACATTAAGCTCCTCACTCAGCAGACAGTCTGCTTCTCCCTCTGCCTCTCCTCCTGCTCATGCTATCTCTCTCTCTCAAAATAAATAAAATCTTTAAAAAAATTTCCCTGGTTTGTTTTCTGCCTTTTGACACTTAAACAATGTTTAACCTGCTGGATGCCTCAACACATGATAGGGGAACATAGACAAGAGATTTCTGCAGTGGGATATATCATTTCCTCTAGACTGTGAAAGTGGAGATTAGACTTTTTTTTTTTTAACATTTTATTTATTTATCTTGAGAGAGAGAGAGGTGAGACATAGAGGGAGAAGCAGGCTCCATGCAGGGAGCCTGATGTGGGGCTCAATCCCGGGACCCCGGGATCACGCCGTGAACCAAAGGCAGACGCTGAATTACTGGGCCGCTCAGGTGCCCTTGGAGATTATTTGAGGACCAAAGGCCTGAGAGACATAACTGGTCTGTGATCCTTCTAACAGAAAGCCTTAGAATTACTGCCTACCACCACCAGAGGGCGTGCGAAGACCACACAAGACTGAATTTGCCCCCGCCGGGTGAAGTCCCCTTCTGGTGTAGGACTGCACTATGTACCTGGGATCCTGAATGATGAATCCTAAGCTGTTCTCTCTCTGGAGTCTCCCTTTAGATACTGTGGGGCCAGGAGATTCCATGCTGGGTGAATCCTCTCAGCTACTGCAGCTACTGCATCCCCTTTGTGCACGGCTGCCTCTCAAAGGACTGGCAGATGCCTTTAGCCCAGCCGAACCATATAAACCCTTTACTCTACAAGAACACACAACAAACCACAGATGAGAATATCTGGTGCTTTAAGGAGCTACCAGACAGCGAGGCTCTTCTCTCTTCAGCTATTTCCTCTGTCTTCCTGCTTTGTGCTCAGCTTTCTCCTGTTTTTTCCCCCCACCTCCCTTTTCCTTGCCACCGCGGATTAACCACAAGAAACTAGGGCTCCAGAAAAAAACAAAATACTCCACCCCAAGATTGCCAGAACTCATCAGCAATTCAGCAGTGTGGCAGGATACAAAATCAATGCCCAGAAATCAGTGGCATTTCTATACACTAACAATGAGACTGAAGAAAGAGAAATTAAGGAGTCAATCCCATTTACCAATTGCACCCAAAAGCATAAGATACCTAGGAATAAACCTAACCAAAGAGGTAAAGAATCTATACCCTAAAAACTACAGAACACTTCTGAAAGAAATTGAGGAAGACACAAGGAGATGGAAAAATATTTCATGCTCATGGATTGGAAGAATTAATATTGTGAAAATGTCAATGTTACCCAGGGCAGTTTACACATTTAATGCAATCCCTATCAAAATACCGTGGACTTGGGACAGCCCGGGTGGCTCAGTGGTTTAGTGCAGCCTTTAGCCCAGGGCATGATCCTGGAGACCCAGAATCAAGTCCCATATCAGGCTCCCTGCATGGAGCTTGCTTCTCCCTCTGCCTATGTCTCTGCCTCCCTCTCTCTCTCAAATAAATAAATAAATAAATAAATATTTAAAAATTACCATGGACTTCCTTCAGAGAGCTGGAACAAATAATCTTAAGATTTGTGTGGAATCAGAAAAGATCCCGAATAGCCAGGGGAATATTAAAAAGAAAACCATAGCTGGGGGCATCACAATGCCAGATTTCAGGTTGTACTACAAAGCTGTGGTCATCAAGACAGTGTGGCACTGGCACAAAAACAGACACATAGATCAATGGAACAGAATAGAGAATCCAGAAGTGGACCCTCAACTTTATGGTCAACTAATATTCGACAAAGCAGGAAAGACTATCCACTGGAAAAAGGACAGTCTCCTCAATAAATGGTGCTGGGAAATTGGACATCCACATGCAGAAGAATAAAACTAGACCACTCTCTTTCACCATACACAAAGATAAACTCAAAATGGATGAAAGATCTAAATGTGAGACAAGAATCCATCAAAATCCTAGAGGAGAACACAGGCAACACCCTTTTTGAACTTGGCCACAGCAACTTCTTGCAAGATACATCCATAAAGGCAAGGGAAACAAAAACAAAAATGAATTATTGGGACTTCATCAAGATAAGAAGCTTCTGCACAGCCGAAGAAACAGTCAATAAAACTAAAAGACAACCTACAAAATGGGAGAAGATATTAGCAAATGACGTATCAGATAAAGGGCTAGTATCCAAGATCTATAAAGAACTTGTTAAACTCAACACCAAAGAAACAAACAATCCAATCATGAAATGGGCAAAAGACATGAAGAGAAATCTCACAGAGGAAGACATAGACATGGCCAACATGCACATGAGAAAATGCTCTGCATCACTTGCCATCAGGGAAATACAAATCAAAACCACAATGAGATACCACTTCACACCAGTGAGAATGGGGAAAATTAACAAGGCAGGAAACCACAAATGTTGGAGAGGATGTGGAGAAAGGGGAACACTCTTGCACTGTTGGTGGGAATGTGAACTGGCGCAGCCACTCTGGAAAACTGTGTGGAGGTTCCTCAAAGAGTTAAAAATAGACCTGCCCTACGACCCAGCAATTGCACTGCTGGAGATTTACCCCAAAGATAGAGATGCAGTGAAACACCAGAACACCTGCACCCCAATGTTTCTAGCAGCAATGTCCACAATAGCCAAACTGTGGAAGGAGCCTCGGTGTCCATTGAAAGATGAATGGATAAAGAAGATGTGGTCTATATATACAATGGAATATTACTCAGCCATTAGAAACGACAAATATCCACCATTTGCTTCGATGTGGATGGAACTGGAGGTATTATGCTGAGTGAAGTTAAGTCAATCAGAGGACAAACATATGGTCTCATTCATTTGGGGAATATAAAAAATAGTGAAAGGGAATAAAGGGGAAAGGAGAGAAAATGAGTGAATATATCAGGGAGGGTGACAAAACATGAGAGACACCTAACTCTGGGAAATGAACAAAGGGTAGTGGAAAGGGAGGCAGGCAGGGGGTTGGGGTGACTGGGTGATGGGCACTGAGGGGGGCACTTGATGGGATGAGCACTGGGTGCTATGCTATATGTTGGCAAATTGAACTCCAATAAAAAATTTAAAAAAATAAAAGAAACTAGGGCTCCTGAGCATCAGCTGCCTTTAGGCAGTAATAATCAGAGCTTCCTCCTGGTCCGTTGAACCTGACGTTCCACAAACATACACATGCACACAAACACACACACACACACACACATGCGCATACACCGAGGTCCATCAGCTGATGCCCACAAGGTGAGGAGCCTGAGTGATAAGGGACCACCTGGGACTGTGGCCCTGGAAGGTAGCTCTGAAGCCTGCCCTCAGCATAAGTTGCCAGGCTGTATTATATCACCAGGGGGCATGTTCACTCCTTTGCTGTGAAAGGTTGATGTCCTTGCAAATCACATTTTCCTTGACCTGGAAAGTCTCTTTTGGCAGAATCAAAGTTTTCCTCAGGCATTGGGAAAACAGGAAAAGAAACTCCAAATCCTACACTGGACACTATATAAGGAAACATCCAACTTTCAGAAATCCCAGAGATCCTAGGTGAGCAGACTAAACATATTGGAGTATGACCCTTTTTAAGCACACAGGAAAAACATCTTTAAAAAGGTGTCTACTGAGCAGTTCTTTGGACTTTACAATACTGTGAAGGCTCCGTGGGCAGACTTCTGTCCCCTATCTGCTTCCTTCCTTTTCCATTGAGGAAGGCAAGAAGCACCCAGTTGTCACCCCTTTCCCCCCTTTCCTTTGCTTCGCTCTGTTAATTGCTCTTACCATGATCTTTCTCTGAAGTTCTATATGTAAAGAAGAGAGGCCTATAGGTAGCCAAGTGCCAGTACATTCCATGTGCTCAGGCCACAGTTTCTGATGTAGCCCCAGAAAATAGTATCCCCTACTCTTCACTAGAAAAAAAAATCTAGGCTCTTCATCAGTTTACCCCAGCTAATAACCTCAGCTATCCTACAACTGATACAGGGTCTGCATTTATTCAATTGGCAGGGTTAGAGAATGTGAAATTGAGAAAGGAGCTTAAAGATCACTCATCTTTGAATAAAATCCTTACTTTACAGAAGTGGAAGATGAGTCCAGAGAAAAAAGATGGCTTGCTCCAGGTCACACAGCTGGTTACTAGAAGATTCTGGGCTGAAATTTAGTTATCCTGACTACCAGTTAAAGAAATCCTCCTGTTAACTCTCAGTTTAAAGAGTTGGGTGGGAACTGTTATTTTTTTCTAAAGGTGATAAAGCCTGCATGTCTCCATTTTTGAGTGTGGGTGAAGATACAAGTTCCTGAAAGTAGGTACAATGTTTTTGACATTTAGAACAGTGGTAGGTGAATACATGCTAAAAGAATGTTTGTTGAATGAAGAATGTTCAACAAGCTCCTCTGGTGGGCAGAACAGAGCCATAAGCTTTAAAACCTTAGCTCACCTTCTTTGGCCCCCTCCAGCTGCTTTTTTTCCAACCAAGGAAGAAACTTGTCTTTGAACAAAGTATGCCACAAAACTCCTTCACAGCACCAACTTGATCAAGGCACCAGCATAGAAGACTTTTATTAAAATAATCTACATCGTCATTAATTTAATGAACATTTATTAAGCATTTGCCATACACTAGGGACTTGTATAAATGCTGGAGATTCAAACAGTAAGGTTCTCCTCTTTTCATGCTTATTATATCTTTATATATGTTGATCCTTGAACAACACAGTTTTGAAGTGTATGGGTCCACTTATATGTTGATTTTTTACAATATAGTACTGTAAATATTTTCTTATGCTTTTCTTAATTTTTTCTATTGTAAGAATACAGCATATAATACATATAACATAGAAAATATGTATTAATTGACTTTACGTTATTGGTAACTCTTCCAGTTAACAGTAGACTACTAATAGTTAATTTTGGGGTGATGGTGTAAAAACTACATGCAGATTTTTGACTCCATGAGTTCAGCACCCCTAACCCCTGTGTTGTTCAAAGGTCGACTGTATAGTGAAGGCACTGACTTTATACATTAAAGATAATAGATGATGATAAGTGCTTTGTGATATGTATGAGTCACAGCTTCTTTGGACAGATTGACTTAGCACCACCTGCAGAGTCTGGAGGCTTCATGAACCTGGTTTACCTGGAGGTACATTTTGTACTTGTGAAAGTTCAGAGAATACTCAGGGGATGGTGTCTCCCTCTAGATGGAACATGGAGTGAATAGGGTATAGAGGCAGGAAGGCAACCTTTGACCTCAAAGTTATAGTGCAAAAGGCTTGAAATTGCATGTTAAGAAACTCAGAATGAACACTATAGGCAAGGGCAAGAGAATCCCACTGTCTTTTATATCTTTTGGGGAACTTCCAGCAATGTCAAAGATGGACTTGAAAATCACAGTGAAGTTTCTTTCCTCTCCTCCACCCCGTTTTTAACCCTGTAGTCTTGTGGACATGAATGTTATTGGAGCAGCCTTAAGAACAGGAGGTCAGGACTTTCTCCTTTGGAGACTACTTAGGAGCTACTTTAATAGGTGGGAAGATAATAAGGGATAAAACCAGGCCCATTTCAGTGGCAAAAGAGAGGCAAGCACAGATGGGGAGGTTTCAGGGATAGCATGAGAAATGTTACTCTGTGTCACCTTCACTCTATACTATTATGTCATCTCAAATAGTACTACTTGATAGGTGAGGCTTCCTCTGTCTCACCCCGGCAAATGGCACATGTGGCCCCTGTGCCCTAAACTACCAAATGCACAGGTTCATTTGTGTGCAGGTTGAACTGCCAGGTTTTGTTAATCTTTTCATCTCTGTGTTCTTTTTAGCCTTTCAATGACCCATAAAAAGATGTGCTCTGGAGGTGGTGGTGGTGGTTACTGAATGAGTAGAAAATAGATATTCATAAATGACTGGATTACAGCCCACCTGGCAGCAAAAGCACTACCATTAAAGGTCCAATGGTAACAAGATACTACACTGATTACCATTTGACCTAACCACTCATAGCACTTAATTTTTTGTTTGGTTTTTAAAAAAATATTTTTTAAATTTATTTATTCGAGAGAGAGAGAGAGAGAGAGAGAGAGAGACAGAGACAGAGACAGAGAGAGACAGAGAGGTAGAGACACAGGAGGAGGGAGAAGCAGGCTCCATGCAGGGAGCCCGATGCGGGACTCGATCCTGGGTCTCCAGGATTACGCCCTGGCCTGAAGGCGGCGCTAAACCGCTGAGCCACCCAGGGATCCCCCTTTATTTTTTAATTTCTTTATTTTTATTAAGCTGGCAAGCTCCCCATCCCACAAGTAGCCACAGAGCCTAGTGTGTATTTTTTCCTTAGCTGATCTTAACCAGCGGCTATGCGCGAGGGAGTGTTCTAGGAAGACAGTAGCCGAGAACATGGGAGGTATCGGGTTCACATCAGTTTGAAGGTGACAGCGAACCCAGCGCAGGTCTCTAAACGCGCAGTTGCTGGCCCTGGCGCCGGAACCAAAGCGTGGACGCCTGGATTTCCGGGCGGAGGCGCCCGTCGGCGGCGACTCCTCCGGCCTGGCGGACCTGTGTCAGGGGAGGACCGCGAACCCGGCGGCGGGGCGGGCAGGCGCTCGAGCTGCTGAGGGCGCCGAGGCTGCGCTGGCCCTGCTGGGGCGGCCAGGCGGGGCGCAGGGGTCAGGGGGGTTTGCACGCGCGGTGCAGTGGGCTTGTGGGCGACGGAGCTGCAGAGGTGAGAGCGGAGACCTGAGGCCGCGTGGGGGCGGGGTCGTGGTGCGGGAGTCTGATGGGGGCGGGAGTCCTCGCGGGGGGGCACCCCGGCCAGAGGTCAGAGCCAGATTTTTTTTTTAAATATTTCATTTATTTATTCATGAGAGAGAGAGAGAGAGAGAGAGAGAGAGGCAGAGACACAGGCAGAGGCAGAAGCAGGCTCCATGCAGGGAGCCTGATGTGGGACTCTCTCCCGGGTCTCCAGGGTCACGCCCTGGGCGGAAGGCGGCGCTAAACCGCTGCGCCACCCGGGCTGCCCCTCTTTGTGTTCTTACAGCTCTTTTACGTCACGCGAGTACAGGACTCTCACATGACATCCTTGTGCGTTCCCGTCTACACGGAGTGCCCTGAGAAAGAGGCTTCTGTTCCACGGCTCAGGGCGGAGCGCGTTGACGGTGGTGTTCCTGGGGAAGGGCTAGGCCTTGCAACCGCTTAGACCTCCCTTGGAATCCAGACCAGTCCTCTGATTTTGCTGAGTGACCTTGGGCAGGTTGTTTGCTTTTGCAATCCTCAGCCTTGTCCATAAACACAATGATGTGGATGAAGCTACGGACTGGGAGGTAGGCCTTCCCATCCTAGTTAAGTCCCAATCTACTAAATGAGGCCACGGACAAAGGCCACATAATTGTAAACACAAGGTGGTCTGTGTTTGGGAGGGATTATAAAATTTATCTCTGGTGGCCTGTGAAATATACTAATTGCCCTGTTGGCACAGATGGAGTCAGGCAGACAGAAAATGTTGGATTCAGTGCTCTTAAACCCAGCAAAATTATTGAAACAAACTCAAGTAATGCAGCCTCTTTTCCTTGTAGCAATGTTATGTAAAGAATAGCATATATATATATATATATATATATATATATATATATATCCTGTGATTACTATAACATCTTCAAGGTGGATTATATCTCCTGATAAATATTACTAGTCTTTATGGGAAAATATTCAGGGTTTTTAAAACGATTTTATTTATTCATGAGAGACACACAGAGAGAGGCAGAAACACAGGCAGAGGGAGAAGCAGGCTCCCTGTGGGGAACCTGATGCAGGATTCGATCCCAGGACTCCAGGATTATGACCTGAAGGCAGATGCTCAACCACTGAGCCACCTGGGTGCCCCAGAAGAGGGTTTTCAAGTAACAGGGATCTACTAAGTAATTTTCTCCTCAGATAATGCTCTTGAAAAAAAAAAAACACAATGAATTTGATGCTTCAGCTTCTTCTCTATCCGTTCCCTTAATTTCTCTTGCTGGCAGCATCAGGGACCCACTACTTTCCAAATCTAATATTTTCTTCATCTTTATTCACTCTGTTTTATAGTATATGTTACAGTGCTAACTTCCTGCTTTTTGAAAGCCATGTTGTGTTAGTAAACCCGTTGTGCTTGCTTTCTTCTCCCCACCCCCCTTCTTTTTTGTTAGGTTGCAGTCCTTTCTCATTTTCCTTCATGGTTTTTGCTTTTGTTTTTGTTTTTGTCTCTCCATTAATCTGTATTTTTCACTACTCCCTCCTACATACTTCTAATTCTACATGTCCAGAACCATACGTGACTTCTTTTTCAAGCTTTGTTCTTCACTCTACAGCATAATATATAATATTCATATATATATATGTATATATTCAATCTTCCTTAGCCCCCACTACCAAAATTCATCAAGGTCTTATTTAGTCTGTCTCTTAAACATCCCTATTCTATCACCTAATAATTTTCTCCACTACATTGCTTTAGTCTTCAATTGTGTCTTATATTCCTACTCAGATTCTCATATTCCCTACTCATTGGGCAGGAAGTGTGAGTGCCCAGGAATTAGGATTATCCTGAGGCTTCTTCATGCACATTTTAGCTTCTAGCCTGGAATGGCTGTCGTAGGATGTACTCATGGCCCGTCCATGTGGGCTCTCCGTGGTTCTCATAGCATAGAACACTCTCCTAAGGGAGTGTTCTGAAAGAGAATATCTGGAGACTGAGTTCCAAGTGAATCAGGTAGAAACTTCTACTACTACTATTACTTCTTTCCTCTTATCTACCTATCTAGACTTGGAAATAACTCAGGTTCATTATTGTTGCATTCTGTTAGTTGCATGCAAACCACTAAGGCCAGCTGAGCGCAGATTCAAGGGGAGAAGACTTAGACTCATCTCTTGATTGCGGAATGGCAAGGTCACCTGGCATAAGAGAACGTGGGGTGGAAGATACCTTGAGAAAATATTATCTGTCAGATATATGTAACACATGTGTATATATTTGTGCGTGTACTTGTATATACACACAGAGGTAGTTTTTTCCCCCAAAGAACAACAATATTAGTAAATTAGTCTAAACTTTTTTTCTGTTAAATTGTGGCAATCAATGTATATCAGTGCCACTTCCTTCTTTCCTCCCTGTTACTTTTGTAGTACTGTACATGGCTACTATACACAAAAATATACCTTTAGACCAGGTAACCACTGTGCAGGCAGAATGACAGTTGCCACTTTAAATGCTTGGATTAGGAGGTCTACCTAGTTCTTTACCTTTAGTAAGTCAACCTTTATAAAGAGGAAAGTATTGTGGCTTCTCAGCCCTCATCACTAATCACAAAATAAAGAACAAAGTATCTTCTTTCTCCCTGTATTTTGGATGTGATACATATAATCCGAATTTACTGTGGTCTCCCTAGAGCCCATTAGCAGATTACCAGTCCTTTTTTTTATTGTGACTTATATCCAGAATTTCAATGAATAACCACCCCCATGTGCTCTTCACCATTGGAGGAACATTCCTGTCACATGCTTAAAATTATATTAATAGTAGTCAGGTGCAATTTTGAATTTAACACAAGGACTTTGGAATTAGTGTGGTGGTCTGTAATGTGGGCCTAGGGCCAAGGAGAGAAAGGTGCCTCATTCTGGTTAACCTCAGTTTGCTATAATGTGGTTAGGTTAAGAGAAGGCTTCAGCAGATGAATGACATTTCTCATTTTGTCTACCTGCTATCAATAGCAGTAGACAAGGTAATTCTGATCAAATTCTGAGAAAACCAGAAAATCTAAGTAAAATTTACAATAAAAACCTACTTGAATGTATAAGGATAAAACAAGATAGAGAATAATTATCAGGTGGAGAAGGGAGAGAAGAAAGAAATCTAGAGAGCTAAATATGGAATTTGGTGTTATTTTTCCCATGGGAGTGTTTCTGCCATAAGCTGAGTATTTGTATGTCTCCCCAGATTCATTTTGAAACCTAATATTCATGTGATATATGTTGGTTTGGCTTTTGAGAGATGATTAGGTCATGAGGGTAGAGCCATCATAAATGGGATCGGTGCCCTTATAAAGGAGGTTCCACAGAGCTCTATCACTCGTCCTGCCACGTGAGGTTACAGCCAGAAGACTATGAACAAGGAAGTGGTTTCTTACCAGACACTGAATCTCTTGGTACCTTGATCTTGGACTTCAGCCTCCAAAACTGTGAGAAATAAATGTCTAGTGTGTATAAGCCACCCAGAGTATGGTATTCTGTTATAACAGCCTGAGTGGACTAAGTCAGTTTCTAATTTTAGAAGTGGTAGCTGAGATGCTGTATGATTATGCAATACTTATGACATGTTGTTGCATATATAAGAATGAAAAAGTTGGAATCCAGGGCCCACCAAAAGGGGTACCTAGTAAACTATCATGGCTTTGGATTGAATGGGTGGAGAGCTTCACTGACTGACACTTAAAGAAACCTTAGCCCAGAATCCAGTCACCTTGAAAATAGGTTGGCCGTTCCTTAAAATGTTAAACATAGAGTTGCCATATGACCTAGCAATTCATATACCCTAGAGAAATAAAAACATATATCCACTAGGGGTGCCTGTATGGCTCAGTCAGTTAAGCATCTGACTTCAGCTCAGGTCATGATCTCAGGGTCCTGGGATTGAGCCCTTCATTGAGCTCTGCACTCAGTGTGGAGTCTGCATCGCCCTCTGCCCCTCCCCCACACTTGTGCTCATTCTTTTTCTCAAATCTTTAAAAAACATATCCACATAGAAACTTCTATACATATATTCATAGTAGTAGTATTTATAATAATCAAAAGTGGAAATAATCCAAAGTGCATCAGCTGATGAATGGATAAGCAAAATTGTATATACATATAATAGAATATTATTCAGTAAAAAGGAATGAAGTACTGGTGCATGCTACAATGTGGATGAACCTTGAGAACATTATGCTAAATGAAAGAATTCAGTCATAAAATGCCACATATTGTATGATTCCTTTTTTATATTTTATTTATTTATTGGAAAAAGAGAGGAGGAAAGAGAGAGAATGTGCAGACAGGGGTGCAGAGGGAGAAGCAGACTCTGTTGCTGAGCAGGGAGCCCTACGTGGGGCTTAATCCCAGGACCCTGGAATCACAACCCAAGACAAAGAGATGCTTAACTGACTGAGCCATCCAGGCACCCCTATATGATTCTTTTTGTATGAAATGTCTGGAAAATGCAAAGCTTTAGAGACTAAAAGTAGATAAGCAGTTGTGTAGGGTTGGGCAGGGAATGGACAGTGAGTACTAATTGATAGGAGGTTTATTTTTGGAATAATGAGAATGTTCTAAGTTTGGATTGTGGTAAAGGTTACAGAGCTCTATGAATATATCAAAAACTTTTGAACTGTACACAATAAACAAATGAATTTCGTGATATGTAAATCATGTCTCAGAAACACTATTCTTTAAAAAAACCTTTATCTCAGTCCCTGAATTTGGATCAGGGTATTTTGGATTGCTGTTGCCTCTAGGCACTGGCAGAAAAACAAAACAAACAAACAAGCAAAAAAAAAGTGAAATTCTCTCTGGAGAATGAAGATTGCCATAGGCCACAAATTAATTCTAATTTTACAAATATAATTTTAAACACAATTTTAAAAGAAATAGCTAGGCACACAAAGGGACAAGATAACATAAATAAGAACCAGCAGAAACAATAAATATTAAGATCATAAAGACTCTAGCTATTGGAGTTACCAGACAGAGACTTAGAAAACTGTGCTTAATAGATTTACAATAATAAAAGACAAGATTTTTAATTTTGGCAAAGAACTAGAAACTATGGAAGACATAATGAATTTGAAAAAGAACCAAAAGATATTTTAATATGAGAAATATAATAAATATTTATAACTCAGTAAAATAAGAAACAAAGCACAACTGAATAGAGAATTATCAAACTGAAAGGAAGTTCTGAGAAAAAACATCCAGAATAAAACACAGAGATACAAAATAATGAAAAATGTGGTGAGAAGATAAATACAAAGAAGATGCCACGGGAAGGTCTAACATACATATAATCAAAGTTCTAGAAGCAAGTATGAAATGAATGGGGCAGAAGAAATGTTTGAACATACGAATGGTTGAAAATTTGTCAAATCTCATGAAAGAGATGAAGCTGCAAATTCAAGAATTGTTATAAACTAAAAAAAAGAATTGTTATAAACTATATGTAGAATAGTAATAGAAATATTAATAACAAATGCATATCATAAAAACTTGCTGAAAACCAATGATAAGTAAAAAAACTATAAAAACAGTGAGGGGG